TAAGGGGTATGGGTGCCGGTGCTGAGAGATGAGGCCAAGAAGGTGTGTGGGGCCGGCCCATGGAGGGCCTTAAACACCAGGCTAGGGCTGGCCACTGAGCTTGCATGTCCGGAGCCACAACAGTGAGAGGCCCGCATACGGGGAAAAAAAAAAAAAAACACCAGGCTAACATGTTCAGACTTTATCCTGTCAGCAGTGGGAAAATACTGAAGGCTTCAGAGGAGGCAAACAACATTATGACTGTGCCTTAAAAATATATCTGCGGCATGGAAAATAGACTGGAGGGGAAGAGACCAGCAGGTAAGAATAGACAAAAACCTGCAGTCCAGACCAGAGGAGATCAAGTTCTGGACCACAGCAGTGGCAGTGGAGACAGAGGCAGGAGGATGAATGGGAGAGATTTTTTTTTTGGAAAGGGAGAGAAGTTAAAGATAGCTCCAAAATGTTGAAACTGTGACATTTATCCTGAGGCCTGAAATATGAATAGGAGCTAGCCAGGCAACGAGCTGAGGAAAGAGTCTTCCAGGCAAAAGGGACAATATGCACAGAAGCCCGGAGGCTGGGGAACAGAATGAGTTAAAGAAACTGACAGAAGAACAGTATGGTGGCGTGCAGAGAACTAGGGGGTGGCCAGGGGCTCCATCACAGAGGACCTTCAGAACCAAGGTTATGAGACTGGACTGGATCCTAAGAGTCATGGGAAGCCATGTGAGTTGTTGAATTATTGAATTACCATTAACCCTCATAGGTTCTCATATTTATCATTACTTTTGATCCATTAAGTAATCACAGAGCCACAGAAATGTCTCTTTGACAAACCAGCCATGTTCTTGGTTATATGCTATAGAAGGACAGAGATTTGCATTTAGCATGCTGGCTGCATCATGGCTCAAATCAAAGCAGGTAACCTGTTTAGAAGACGTTGGCAGTCAGCTTAGAGAGAGAGAATGGTGGCTTGGACAGGATGGTAGCATGGAGGTGGGGAATAGAATAATTTGAAAGATGTTTGGAGGACAGAACTTACGGGAATTAACAACTGACTAAAGGAAAGCGATAATTAGAGCTCAGTGAAGAGTACAGTCTCTGGAGGAAGAGTGTGAGTTCTCAACTCTGGCTCACCCACTAGCTGGCTGTGTGACCTTAAGTGGTTATTTAACTTCTCTGAACCTGGGTTCCTCATTCACAAAATGAGAATGCTTATTGTCCTAATGGGGGCTTTATGAAGATTAAATAAAATACACATGTAAAATACTTAGTTTTACAATGATGAGTGTACAGTAAATGTTGGCTATTACTATATGGGGAAAGTGAGCAAGCAAGATGAATCAGAAATGATTTGAAGAAAGGACCCACTTAGATTCATATTGGTACCATCTTTAACTCAAGCTAGTAATCATTAGTAATTTGAGGGTGTACAGGTTTACATTTATTTTTTTTAAGTCAAGACCAAGGGTGAAAAAGGATATTACATAATGGTAAAAGGGTCAATTCACCAAGAAGACATAACTATCCTAAATGTCTATGCACCTAGCAATAGAGCTTTAAAATATATGAAGTGAAAACTGACAGAACTGGGAAAAAATAGACAAATTAACAATTACATTTGAAGACTTCCTTGAAAACCACAAACAACCAAAACTCACCCAAAATGAAACAGATAACCTGTAACTATAAAGTAAATTAAATTTTAATTTTGGAAGGTTATAAACCTTCCAAAACAGAAATCTGAAGACCCAGTTGGTTTCAACGGCATATTCTTCCAAACATTTTAAAGATGATATATCACAAATTCTACACAATCTTTTTCAGAAAATAGAAGAGGAAGGAACACTTGCCAACTCATTTATGAGGCGAGACCCTGATACCAAAACCAGACAAAACAGTACAAAAAAGAAAACTACAGACCAATATCCCTCATGAATATAAATGCAAAAATTCTCAAAAAAATACTAGCAAATCAAACAAATATACCATGACCAAGTGGGCTCTATCCCAGAATGCAAGGGTAAATATTTGAAAATCAGCCAATGTAACCTAGCATATTAACCACCTAAGGGAGAAAAAACACACACAATTATATCAATTGATGTAGAAAAAGTATTTGACAAACTTTAATCCATGATAAAATCTCTCAGCAAACTAGGAATAGAAGGCAACTTTCTCAACTTGATAAAGAGCATCTGTAAAAAAAAAACCCTGCAGGTAACATCATACTTAATGGTGAAAGACTGAAAGCTTTCTCCCTAAGATGAGGAGCAAAGCAAGTATGTTCACTCTCACCATTTTTATTCAACATCATACTAAAAGTCATAGCAAGTGCAATAAAGCAAGAAGAAAAAAAAAGAAAGAAAAGCATACAGATTGAAAAGTAAGAAATACAACTGCCCTAATTCACAGATGACATGATCACCTGTGTAGAAAATCCCATTAAATTAAATACTTTTAAAATCTACTAAAGGGCTTCTCTGGTGGCGCAGTGGATGAGAGTCCACCTGCCGATGCAGGCGACACGGGTTCGTGCCCCCGTCCGGGAAGATCCCACATGCCGCAGAGCGGCTGGGCCCGTGAGCCATGGCCGCTGAGCCTGCAGGTCCAGAGCCTGTGCTCCGCAACGGGAGAGGCCACAACAGTGAGAGG